AATCCTAGTAAACCTAATATTTGTTCCTCCATTTGGTTGGAATTTCTTGTGCACACATATATGCAATGTCTTTGTTTGAAAGGCCAATGCCAATTAAATGTAACTGCTTCCCCTGTGGACTTAAATCATGGCTGGATGCTAAATTTATGTACTTCTATATATAGGCTGTTTATAAGTAATTCTTCTTCAGCAGTTGCACCTTTTCCACGTAGTTTAGAATAGAAGCTGCCCTTGTTCTCTAGCACAACTTCTACCAAGAAAGCACCAGAAGAAAATCATTACATTTAGCAGGCACCTCCCTTGTTTAATGGCGTAAAAATGTCTTGGTGCCAGTCCTGTGCTTGGCATACAGGGAAAGGTTAAATAAATTAAACATCTGCAGCCCAGCTAGTGAAACAAACACCAAACACCAGTGAAATGCTACAGGACATGTGATAACCACAGAGCAGCACAGGAGAAATGGAAACCTAATGATGGAAGGGCACTGTTTAGGATAATTTGTAGTCATAGAATATGCTTTAAAAGTAAGAGCAGGAAAAACCATGCTGGAAATATTTCCTAATGGGGAGACCTAATATGCTGTGGAATAATTACCGAAGAGAGAGGAAGGAAGTCCTTTTTACTGAGTCATTTCTTTCTGGACTGGGCAAAGCAGGGAAAAAATGTGCTGGCAGACAGAAAGACTACCAGCTCTGCTGTTCAGAAGCCTAAGACATTTCTGTTCTCAACAGCAGCAGTTTTATTCAGAGCAAAACCAAGCTCATGAAACCTTTTTTATTGTGCATGAAGAGATGAGTGACTTCTGTAATCTCCCCCTTCTCTTCCTCAGATTTAATACATTTACATACATTTATGGCTCCTTCTTAAACTGCATTTCCAGAAGAGAGGTTTCCAGGGCTGCAGTCCATCTGATGATGTGTGGCAAGAACAGAGGCAGCTTTATCAGGAACTTGTCCGATCAGGCTCTGGCCAAGCATGACTAGTTTAATGTGACAGATTATAGAATGAAAGGAGAGCGAGAAGGGAGGAATAACAAGTGCCAGGGAAAGATTAGATTCTCCACATTTCTGCATTTATTGACCTTTTCTTCTCCAATATACCATTAGTTACCCAGATTTACAGCTCGAGATGGCAGGCAAGCTGTCAGGCGCACTGCTTAGGTCACTGATGATGTTATGAACTCTACTGGAAACTGATTTCATTAAGCAAAGCTATGTGGCTTGGCATATGATATAGCAAATATCTAACTGACATTTTAGTTGCTCTTCATACAATTCCTTTGTAATTAGTGAGGTCATTTTAATAACTTTTTAGGGCCTTAAAAATTTTTAAAAATTGCATGTTGGGTACCAACAGCTGGTATACAGCATCCATCCCTGATGAACAGTCAGTGTACGTGAGTGCAGTCTGGCATCACTGTACATAAATCTGTAGACCAATCTGCAGAGAAGCAATATTTTATACTGAAGTTTCTTGAAGGCTCACTTCTTTAGTTTTCTTTCAGTATCCTCTAGATCAAGTATTCTGTCATAAATTGGACTTGAGTTGCAATTTACTCGTTAATAAAATACCACCTCTGGGACTTAATCCAGAGCGCAAGTAAAGAACCTAACTGCTGCTGGCCAGCAGGACACCAGTCTGAAATGATGCAATAGTCTACAACAGTGTAAGCAGGATTTTCTAACCTTTAGACCCACATTTCTGAAGGAAAAATCTATCCTTTTTTTAAAGCACATGCAGGTCTGTATCTTTATTCTGAGCCCAGGTTGCTACTGTGTGTTCACTTTACTCATTGCTGTCATGGTTTAACCCAGTCAGGAATAAAGCACAACAGTCACTCAGTCCCTGACCCCAGCAGGGGAATAAGAAGCTTCCAAGGGTAAAAGTAAAAAAATTTATGAGCTAAGATCAATTTTATAATTGAAATAGGATAACAATAGGATTCTCAGAATGAGAACAGGTGGGCACATCCTCCCTCTCCCCCAGGGTCCTTGCATAGCTCAGGCTTCAGCAAAGCAGGGTGTACATGAGCAAACACACTCACACAACTCTAATGTCCAAATACTCCCAAACCCAAATGACATCAAGATTTTCTTTAATTGTTGTATTTTTAAACCATTGATTTTCTCGTGGTGGAGGCCCGAGAACCATTGGAGACCTTGGGGGGTGGAGGGGTGCCAAAGACAATTGCAGCCTGGGAACATTTGGCAGTTGGACTGTGTGATTTGTTTTTTCATTCTCAATTTTCGTTTTCCCTGTTCTCCTTTCAGATCCTCCATTCTGGCTTGCTGCGGTCTGCAATTGCCCTGATCTAGAAACTGCAAGCCCAGACTGCATTGCTGCATCAGTCCCTGCAACTGAGAGCCAATGCAACAGTGAGCAGCAATTTGAGATACCAGGAATGCTGCCTTTAACAGCCTGCACTCACTAGCCCCAATTCCCATTGAACTTTGAAGGCCCAGGTTTGCTCCTGTTTTCCCCCTTTCAGCTTTAACTGCAACTCCTGGTTTATATGAGGAATATAGTTTGGAATATGGGATTCATTTCCTATTCTAAAGAAAGAAATAGGAAAGGAAAACCACAGTTTGGATCCAGCTATCTTGCAGGCTGAAATTCTGTTCTGAATTTTTTTCCTTCCCATGCTGCAGCCTCCTCTGCTCCTTCTGCCTATTTTCAGATGAAATGCTGAGATGCTGAAATTCAAACTACACAAATGTGCATCATATCTATCACTCACAGACTGTGTTATCTTCCTGCCCATCCTTCCTACATCAACGTAAAATCCTCTGGGTGCCTGACGCAGAGAAGACTACCATGCAAGTGTGTCTGGAATTCTGCACAGAAGAGGGTAAGTGCTGCAGCAGCTGGTTCTTGAGGCTGCTGCCCACCATGGAGATGTGCAATGCACTTGCACTCAGTCCCCAGCTGATGTGCCAGCACAAAGGAGCAAGACCCCTCCTTTGGAAAAGATATAAGGTGTGAGGCAAATGATGTTGATCAGCTCCAGCTGGCAGAGAGTCAGGACTCCCTACCAGCTGCACACAGAGGGGAGAGCTGAAAGAGAATTTGGGATCTCACAGGCGTTCACCATGGAGAAGAGCTGAGAACAAAGTCCTTTTACGTAATAATCTTGAGGCATTGTCAGCAGCAGAGGTCTGAGGGAATGGCTAAAGCAGGAGAAGGACATTACAGGTCCTAATAAGGAGCAATCACATAATTGTTTGGGACAAACTGGGGCTGAAGCTCCTCCACAGAATCTCATCAACATGAGCTGCCTTGCCAGGGACTGAAGGGCCACATACAGCCTTCATGCTCTCAGAACAAGAGATGAAATGGCATAGGTGGAGGGCCTGAAGATTCCCATTTCCTGCAATTCTTGCAAAAGACTCTCTGTGGCCACTTTGTAATCAGTTTGGTGCCATCTCCTTTCTGAACTCTTTCGTCTTTTCCTCATGAGTCAGCTCCTGCAGTACCTGAAGCAAAATAGATCCACCTTTTGGATAAGAGAAACCTTGTCCTACACACTGGTTTTATCTTTAGCAACCTGAGCCAGCAAGATACCTAAACACCAGGTGGGTTTTCACAATCTTGTTAAGAGAGCAGGAAGGAGAAGCCCAGCTGGAAGGCAAAGCTCAGATAAACACTTCATGGCAGAGCATGAGCATCCTTCCTCCACCCCTGCTGTCCCCAGCAACCTTCCAAGACTTGATCCACTAACAGCACACAGCATGCAAAACACTTGGAACCCATGGTCTTATTTGGAGACTTTGTCTTATTCCTCACCCACGTTAAACCTTTATTTGGTGAGCCTTACCAGCAGTTTCACAGCACTTCAGTCCCTTCTTTCAGAAAGGAGGAAAATACTCCATCATCTGGACATGCCACAAACATGAAACGAGGATCAGCTTACATGAACAAAGTAGAAGGACGCTGCATCTGTGCCTGTCCAAATTATCTGGCAAAAACCAAGTATACTGGGAAAGAACAGATAGACCAGGACAAAAGAGAGGAGTTATTTCCTCACAAAACGCATTCTTAATAAATAACTTGAATCACTTTGCTAAGAATAATTGACTGGAATATTGGACTTAAACTGTTTAAAACTTTTATTTTCCACTTGCTCTTCACGCACAGATTCTGTGACAATTTAACTTTTTTTTTACTGGATTGGGGGACCAGAATTACACCGCAGCATTGCACTATTAAGCAACAAAATTACCATTGTTCCTCTTTGTGTGCCTCCTCTCTGTTTTAGCTTTCTTCACTGGTATGCAACACATTTCTATCCAAACAGAAATCCTAAAATGCATCTGCATGGTAAGATATAAAGTGCCCTGCATGGCTGATCAGGACATAAACAACCACAGCAAAAGTTGCTTGCTAACCTCCTCCCCCTCAGCAGAAGAATTAAGTCAAGAAGGCACTTCCTCCCCTCACCCCATCCCCTCATTTTTCCTCTTCCTACAACCTATACAGCTCCCACGTACACAGTTTCATTTGCAGAAGTTTTCAGCTCATCCCTCTGTGTCACACATCTTTGGGTGATACCAGCACAATTTAATCACTTAAACAAATTGTGGGTGCTTGCACTGTATTCCTGTCCAGAGCAAAGCTCCTGATGGCATGCAGGTTCCATCAGCAGCCACACACCCTACAAACTGCCCAGGCATAGAAAGCAGATTTCTTTGCCATCTTCTGGGGCTTTTTCTTTTCCTCACCAGATCCGTTGTCAGAGGAAGGGAGTCCAGAGCTTATTTCCTTCCACCAGAGGACTGCTTTCACTTTGCTACATTAATGGGAATTGCAGGTGCACTTCAACCCAAATGTTCATTTCTTCAAACAGCAGAAAAGGCTACATGCACTTGGGGAGAAAAAATATCCATCCGTTCATGCAATCTTAGCTTTCAAGGGGAAATGTGCAGTGGAAATAGAAGGAATGATAGGGGAAATTAAATTAAAATGCAGGAACAAGAATATTAGTAACAGGAGGGAACTTTTACCTGTGGTGCTTGCCAAAACGCTTTCATGGTGCTCAGTGAGAATACACAGGTGTACAGGAAGCCCAGCAGACTATCCAAATACGATGCCAAGTTGCCAGGTTCCAGGGAAGTTGTCCTTCAGCTGTAGCCTCAGAGAACTTAGCGGCTCAGTCGACTCTGATCCGGGTGCTCCCTTGTCCCTTCTTTCCCCAGGCTGGCAGGACAGCCCCTGGGGCATTCCTGCAGTATCTCCTGCTCTCCTGCCAAAGGCTCTGTGGCACCTTCAAAGGCAGCGCAGGGCAGCACTCCCTGGCACGCACAGGGTGCTCTGGTAAGGCTTCCACAGGCACTTTGTGACAAACAACATGGGAGGCTGTTTGCTCTGACAGTCCAAGTTGCTTGCTTAGACCTGCAGAACTGCCCAAGCACTGCCAGCCTGCACTCAAATAATTTTTAGAGCCTTACTACTACTGCACTTCCATTTCCAGATATTTCACCAGTTCCTTGTACAGCAGCATGAAAACATCCCTATCTCCACAGGTCACCTGCCTAATATACCTGGATTGTACTTACATTGGCAGAGAACAGCCAATGTTTGAACACCCAAGGCCACACTGCTGGTGTTTCAGTTCATATAAAAAACCAGAGAATTTGCTAAAATACCAATCACGCAAATATTGTAAAAAAAAATATTTTCCCTCCTTTTCCACTCCTTCCCATAAGTTCACTGGAGTGGCAAGGATTCTGATACAGACACCAGCCCTTAGAATAAAACTTGGCAAGTTCCACATCACTCAGTGCTGCATGACATTAACAGCTTCCAGCCATACCACTGACAAGAGGAAAATAATTCCTTCTGTTACCAGTGACCTTCCAAGGTAGTGTGCTAACAGTCTTTCTTTATTTAATTGATTTTCCCAAATCATCATCAGAATTTCTGGTAATAGGTTCATTAGTCTCACAACGAAGAGATGATTAATACATACAGCAAGACAAGAGCAGGAGGAGCTGCAAAGAACATGAGCACACAAAGATGCTGTGATGTGAATGACGGATCAGCCTGGGTCACAGGTGCTGCTGCCCAGTGTTGCTCCCCCCTCTGTGCTGTCATGAACTGGGGTGCAATCAGGCTCACTCTCATTTGGTCTAACTGACCATTACCCAGTCTGATCATGGTCTGATCATGGCTCTGGGCACAGAATTTGTTCTTGAAGACTTCACAGTTTTTCCACTTAGCTCACCACATGCTGATGACTTGCACCCAAAGAAGCCCAGTTACTGTCACTGCCCACACTCATCTCTGCTGACCAAACTCTCCCTGCCACCACTTGTCCACACCAGGGAGAGCAGTGCTCATGCTGAGGGAGCTTCCTTGTGGGGCTGGCACAGTCCCACAGCAGATGAATGTGAATAACCCATCAGTGAATCAGTACTGCTGAAAGACATGCAGAAGCCATTTGCATGTCCAGGCTACCATGGCTGAGCCCCACGCTCTGTGTGACGCTGTGCTGTGTGACACAGCTGCACCAGTTTGTTCAGAGCTAGCTCAGGTCTCTGACTTGGGACTCAGCATGGTTCACACTAGCCCATCCAACTCCTTGGCAGCATCCTGCAACACTGGGGGTGTTTCAATAAGGATTTTTTATGGGAGTGATCTGTTTTGTCCCAAATTCCCTAAGGTCTCTCTTGTTCTCTCATCACCTTCAAATAAAGAGAAATGCAACCGAAAATTTACAGCCTTGGCATTACCTGAAATCACTATTTTCTCATTTTTGTCAACTCCACATCATTCCCCCCATCTGTAAGTGGCTATAGTGGAGATAATGTCTCTTCATAAAGTCTCCTGATTGGTTTGTTTAGAATGCAAACCAATCAAAGCACATGTTCATGAAAATTGTCTTACTTTCTCCAGTAAAGAGCGGCAACTTTAGGAGCAGGGTTTGCAACAACAGAAATTTAAAAATCAATAAAATTGTACTGAAATAACAATTGCTGATATCATGGTTGAAGACTTAGACCAAGGCCATCTATCCTCTCCAGTAAAGAGAGAGGCAACTTGGAGCAGGGTTTGCAACAACAGAAATTTAAAAATCAAAAAAAATTGTACTGGAATAACAATTGCTGATATCATGGTATTGTAACCTCTTGAAGTCTTAGACCAAGGCCATCTATCTCTGCTTTCATTCCTTCATATTTCTAATTTCACTCTACTTTATCTACACCCTACCAGACTGTGGACTCTCAGAGTGTTATTTTTCCATTTCTCTTACATGGTGGGATGGTAGAGAACAAGTATCACAACAAACTCCTCTGTGCATCTCCGAATCTCGAGGAGACAGGAGAACACCCAGAGCAAGAGGCCCCAGGCTCAGGGGGCTCAGCACCATCTGTGCTGCTCTCCTGCCATGGTCACGTTTAATGCTTTCCTGAAGCTACACCTGCATGCCAAAGTGGACAGATTCACAGCCTCAGGACTGGAGAGAAGCAGTTTTAATGCTCTCGTGCAATCTTCCTTGGCTTGCTTTTGCTATTTGTAGTATCACTATGGAAACCAAACGTGACACTGGTGATCTTTATTTAACATTTGCCTTCCCCAGACATGATCTCAGCTAACTTGTGTATCACTTAAGCCCTGCCCATTCTTTCCCATACAAATACCCAGGAAATCAGGTTGAACTGGAAGGCAAGGGATGATGGCTTGAGGTTAATTTTTGTGTCCTGTCCATGGAGGGCTCCAGGCCTTTGGAGCTGCAGCACCTGTGATGCTAACACAGTGCATGGTATGTTTGTTATAAAGATAATAATAACACCTCTTGCTGGAAGGTCTCACTGCACTTTACAGTGTAAAGTTGCATCCAACTTTACAGCAGTGGGATGTAATTACCTACCAGAAATGGAGACAAAGGGATGGGATGTGCCTTCTCTAAGGTCATTTACCTAATCTGGAGCAGCCACCAATCTTAAAGTTCAGGCTTCCATGTCCCTACCCAATGCTTCCTCCAAATCAGCCTGACAATAAAAGATACTGTCCTAGAAGAAAATACAGCAAATTCTTTCTTAAATCCAGGCTCAGCTCTACCCTTCCATAGCAGCTGACACTTTCTTTTCAAAGCACTCACCTTAATTTGTCAATAAGATGATCATTGTGTGCTAGTGCTTGGTGTTGGTTACTGTCTGTGGAAAAGCGCGGTTTTAGTTTTGTAAAATCTGAGGGGGGGGAAAGAAAAAAACAACAAACCAACCAAATCAGAATTCTACTTTTGATTCAAATTCCTCCAGAAATTATTCTGGCCTGCTTCTTAGCCTGTGAGCCAACAATGGGTAAGGGATGAATTTTTCATGGCAATATTGAAGTACAATTAGCATTTTCTGAGCTTGATATTCTCTGCACTTTTCCTCACAATTAACCTCTTTGCTGGGGATATGTGACCTTTCCCAATGCAGAGGTGGATTCACACCACGGCCAAGCTCTGTGACCACCCACAGAGCTACAACTCAAAAAGTTCAACTGATTGACACAGAGAAACAGCAGCCACGCAGGGCAGATCCTTGGCTTATGTTCAGGCTGGCCCTCCTGCATCTGGATCCAGCCACAGGGTAAGGCAAATGTGAATTTATGTCACTTTTTACAGAGTGGCCAGTGGCACCAGTAAGCCACCATGCAGCGCCCAGCCTGGAGGAGCCACCCCTGTGAGAGCTCTCACCTCTCTGAGAGTGCAGATCTGTCAGACCCAGCTTAGCACACAGCAAGGGAAACTTCACTAAGGCAACAAGACCTTACACGAAGGGAGAGCTGAGCACCTGCATCAAGACAGGGATCATGACTCAGTGGTCTGCAATAATTTGTCAAGTCACAGCAACGTGAGAATCTATCTAAATTCAAGTGATTTCACAATAGTTACAAAAGAAGCCCAAAGCACAACAGAATGAAAAGCTTCTCTCTTTCCCAGAATCTCAAATACCAAGCCCAGGTTCCCCTCCCTTCATCCCCTGATAATAAAAAATAGCATTCAGGTGTATCCTTTTATCAGAAAACCAGTACTTCTCTAATTGCTCCACCATAAGAGTCTTTAAAGTATCATCCATTTAAACAGCTCCCAAAAGCACTGAATCTGTACTAATGAAGATTAATAGCAGATTTGCAATAACAAAGCTTGGAAAGGGTACTTTTAGAAATTAACATCTCACCAAAAATACATTTTCAGCTGTACATTACTAATTCCATGGCCGTCCAATGCAGGGTTTCCTGGACTTCAGAAATAAAGGTATTGCAGGCTGTGGTGTATAGGACTAGATGGGACCTCAGTGTGGCAATTCCTGTGCAAGACAGGACTTCCCTGTTATAGGATTTGCCATGTTATCAAAGCACTTATGCAATCTCTTGAAAGGGAAATATAGTGGAGTTTTACACAGCTGAGAATCACTATTCCACCTTGCAGCATGAAGCTGCTCTGCACAGGTAAGTGATGAATGGGAAGAAAACAATTCTGCCATTTCTGGTGCCATTTGGGTTTACAATGCTCATTTCCTATACACATATCTAAGGGTGAGACCCTGAGATTGAGCTCTATGTTAGGCACTAAGAGAACTGTGAATTAAATTAGTTAGAAGCTGGATGCTTTCATCACACCTGGAAATTATGTGAGGCCATTAAGTGTCTGGTGCCATTCTAAATGGTTTGCTACACCTCATTATTCATGCATATTCCTTAGGGGTTACAAGAATTTAGCGTGTAAGAGCTCGCAGTGAAATCCAGCCCCACTGCACTGAGGAAAAGGATAGGCATCAATATTGAATTTTCCAGAAATCTGAACCTAAAACTTTTCGCAGGCTTTGCAGAAAGTAAAAAGAGTGGGGGCAGGATGCCCAGCAGCTGCCAGCCCCAGCACACAGCAGTTTTGCTCTCCAGTCTGCTCTGGCCCAGCCCAGCAAACGCTCGTAGGGTGCAGAGTGGTTTGAGTCTCAGCCCTTGGTGGGAAGGAGCAGCACCACTGACAGAATAACGCCCTGCAGGCAGCAGCAGAACTTGCTTTGGTTAAAGGCTTGATCCCACTTTGACCACAGGCAAAGCTGGGGGGTCTTGCAGCCCGCTGTTACCCTGAGCAGCGGGCAGTGGGGCCTGGCAGGATGAAGTGGAATTGGAGTGAGTTTCTGTGGAAAATATCTCTGTAGATACAGTTCTCTGTGGGCCTGGCTAT